TTTCTATTGAATTACATATTGAATTGCCTTTGCAACTTTGTCAAAGATCAATTCGCCATATTTCTATGGGCTACGTATGGGCAGTCTCTTCTGTTTTATTGATCTATGTGTCTTTTCTGTCTACAATACTACATTGTCTTGATTAGCGTAGCTTCATAGTAAGTTCAAAACAGTATGATTCCTTCAACTTTATTCTTTTTCAAAACTATTTTGCCTATTATAGTCACTTTGCTTCTTGCTGTAAATTTTAGAATCTTGTCTATATTTACATAAAATCATGCTGTAAATGTGAATGTTATTATGTTACATGTATAGATTATTTGAGGAACATTGACATCTTTACCATGTTGAGTCTTCCACTCCACTAACACAATATATCTCTTCATCTATTTAGGTCTTCTTTGATTTATTTCATCATTTTTGTCATGTTCAGGATACAGATTCTGTACTTGTTATTTGAGAATATTTATTTGCTAAGCATTTGATTCTAAGGGAACTATGATAAATGTATTGCTTTTGAAATTTTGGTTTTCTAGAGTTCGTTGCTAGAATATAGAAATATGACTGATTTTTATGGCAACTTTAATTTATTTATTGGTTCTAAGAAGTTTTGTTTGTGATTTGTTTGTTTTGATTCCTTCTTTTTTTCTGCCTAAACAATATTATGTGTGAATAGAATAACTGAAAAATTTCCCCTTCCTATTTAATTTATCCTTTATTTCTTTTTTTTGCCTTTTGAACTTACTGGATCTTTTAGCACTATGATGAATAAAAGTGGTGAAAGCCAAGGGTGAAAACTTTCAGTCCTTCACTAGTAAGCATGATGTTAGTTATACTATTTTTTTTTTAGATGCTCTATATACAGTTGAGGAAGTTTCCTTCTACTCTGACTTTGCTGAGAATTTTTATCATTAATAGATGATGACTTTTATCAAATGCTTTATATATTTTAAAATTTTCTATTTTTATTATTTTAATAGTAAAAAAATCTATTTTGACTCCTTTTACTATCCATTTTCAACTCAACTTTCTTAGGCACTTGTAAGTGGTCATATCAAATTAATCTACTTCCACAAATAAAGAACTTACCTAATTTCAGCCAACATGGCTCAGTTTCAGTAGGTGCTTCCTTTTGGTCTTCCTCATGGACACTTGTTGTTAAATCATGATTTGTTTGGGGCGCCTGGGTGGCTCAGTTGGTTAAGCAACTGCCTTCGGCTCAGGTCATGATCCCGAAGTCCCAGGATCGAGTCCCACATCGGGCTCCCTGCTCAGCAGGGAGTCTGCTTCTCCCTCTGACTCTACTCCCTCTTGGGCTCACTCTTTCACTCTCTCTCTCTCAAATAAGTAAATAAAATCTTTAAAAAAAAAACATGATTTGTTTTCTAGAGTTATAATAGGATGAGCAAATTGTAGAACATATAAATATACATTCTGATATACATTAGGAATAGTTTATTATTGACTACTGCTGACAAAAATTCTGATTTTGAATATCATTTATAAATTGACTACAATCTACTGAGTACTTTTGGAGAAATACATAGGGCAAATAATCAAAGAAACCCTTCATATCATGCAGACTTATCCACTTTGTGTGTCTGTTTAAGTGATTACTTGCTTATTTCTTTGTGTTTTCTGTACCAAGGAAAGTAAAGAATATCTAAGTTTTCATATTCAGCAAACAAAGTAACAGTAAAACAAAAAAGTCAAACTAGGAGGGTGGACTCAGTTTGATAAGATAGTTCAGATCTGTTTTGTTATTAGCAAATAATCACTAAAAATCCCCCAACTTCTGTCTTTGTATCTTGACTGAAATAGATTAAAAAGATCATCATATTCTAAAGTTTTTACGGTGTTTATTTTGGAACTTTTCTGTAATGATCTACCAATTCCAGGTACTTTAAAAAAATAAACAAATTATATATTTTAAAAGTAAAGGTTACTGCATTCAAGATGAGTTTGAAGGGAAAACATTAGTTTGTATGATTAGTTTGTATGGAAGAAGGTAAAGTTTTCAAGAATTACAAATATTCATATTTAATTACTTTGCTGAGACCTAAAAAGCTTCAAGTGTCTGACCTTGAATTTTACTTTCTTCTTAGACTTAAAAGTTAAGATTTAGAGATGTGCAAGGTAGAACTAAATTTTTAGAGTACATTATTGGAAAATAGCTTAAAGCCCTTCTATTTCTAAATTAAATGATGCTGTGGTACATATGGCTTTTGTTTTGGGTCTATTTTCATTTTTCTATGCAAATACAGTTATTTTATATCCAGATTATTTTAAATGAGTTTTCTGACACCCTTGGAGTCTGGATAATGAAAATGTTATTTTCTATATTAAAACCAGTGTGGGTTTTATAGTGAGTTAGTTATATGTTTGTTAAGGCCAAATGGCTATTTCATTACGGTAATTATAAACACACATACAATTTCTTACATTTCTACCTATTTTAATGGATAAATGCAGGCATTATTAGTAAACTTCTAATATTCTGCTACTGATTAAGCTGCAAATTTTTAAAAGTTGTACTTTGTGAAATTCTGCGATAATAAACCAACCTTTCTTTTTTTTTCTTTTACATTCCTTTTTACCTCTCTCCACCCTCATTCCTCCACAGTATATATACGTTTTTGTTTCTCTCTTTCTCTTCTCTATTTTTCTCTTGCCTTTCTCCCTACTTTTATTTTTCTCATCTTTCTTTTTTCTAAAATCCCCTTTTTTATGACTTCCTCTCATGTTTCTATTTTCATCAAAATAACATTTGGTAGCAATACTCTTGCTGAGTGTTCATCAAACACTCTGATGCATACATGCAAACATACATACACACATGCACATGCACACACATGCACATGCACACACATACACATAATTTAAAAATAGTCCTTCATTCAGTGGGGAAATGTATTCTATTTCTTAGTTTAAGTCCTGTATTTTATCAGAGCTGTTTAGAACTTTAACAAGAGGCAAACACTTTCAGATACTGTCCCTATTAGAACAGAGGAAGGGAAGTTTCCCTGTCTGTCTCTCTGTGTCTGACTGAATAGGGATCCATATCCTGTGATGCTCCACCTAATTAAAGCCATTAAAGTCACAAGGTTACTTATAATAGCACTTATGAAAACTAGAGTTCCCACTTTCACTTCACATTTTACTCTCTCCTTAATACCCAGAATTCTGTTTTTCTGAATTGTTCTAAGATACTCATGGCTTAGTCTTTAACTGACAACAATAATGGTTTGCATACATGTTTTTGACCAATTCAACAGATTTTATTAAGTTAAATTGTGGAGTTTTAAGTAATTGTAGCTTTAAAAATTGGCAAAATTCTTTTGCAAACATTTTGCCCCAGTGTTTTTTCCCACTATTATTTAATTTAATTTAATTTAATTTAATTTAATTTAATTTAATTTAATTTAATTTTTTAAGTGTGGGGCTTGAACTCATGACCCTGAGATCAAGACCTGAGCTGATATCAAGAGTCTGACACTTAACCAACTAAGCCACCCAGGCGCCCTTCCCCTGCCCCCGCCACTATTATTTTTACTAAAAGATCATTATCCTTAAGAATTGATAGTTTGCCCTTATGGAAAGAAAAATTAAGGTGCTTCACAGAATCTCAAAACTAATAAAACATGTTAATGAAAAATGTCTGCTACCAACTACTAGTTAAAGTGGATTAGAAGTGAGAAATGTATTGACCTTGTTTATTCATCTTTGCACTTTGATAAAGGTCATTTGAACAACAGAAAAAGATTATAGATTAAGAAATTTATGAGGGTATTTCCTGTCCCCCAACTTTTAACAGACGGTGAAACTTAGGTAGTACTTTTAGCTATTACTCTTAACATATCTGTTTTTTTTTTTCTTTTCAGTAATAGTTTAAGAAAGCCACAAAATTAAATTATTACATGGGAAGAAAAAAGGGTACTGTTAGTTTAAATTAGCTTTATTTATAAGGAAAACACATATTGTACTGCATTAAGCCTTACCTTGGGCCCTCTTCTTCATGAATTGCATGCTCCCGTGTCACTGATACTTGCGTGCTGGATGATCTTGTACGAATCCGTAGCTGCTTCAGAGCACAATGGTGTGATATGAAGTGATGCAGAAAACAGGAGAACCTTTGTCGCTGAGTCAGCTGCAAGAAGAAGTGATGTGTATGAATGTACAGTATAGGGAGATCTATGAAAGATCTAGTATCTTTCTCCCAAAAGACTCTGTTCCATGATACAAGGAGAATTCAGTTCTTTTTGGCAGACCTCCACATCAGTTTGGAAGCAGTAAAAACAACCACAAAAACAAGCCTGGTTTCTCAATGTCTTTACTCTCAATATTTTAAGTAACATTTTATTTCTTGTTTTTATTTTACTTTGTTTTTAATAACCAGAAGTAATAACCTTTCCCACTGTCTAGTTCGAGTCCAATGCCATACTCGGAGTGTAGATAAGGATGAATTATAGAGATGAGTTCAGCCATATGTGCCATGCTTGTAATTGTTATTGGCAAAATTTGAAGTAAAGGCCCTGTATCTCTTAATTGAGGAGTGGATGACTTTAAGTGATATTACATCAAGGAGGGCATAGAATCCCAGCAGATGATGTAATTATGTTTAAAAATGAATATTATTAAATAATTCACACTTTTAATATGGAGAAATTAGGTCATTTTTCCACACCTCCCACAAATGTTCAATCTTAATATCTAAGTAATGAAACCACACAGACAGTGCAATCCATCCTGGTAGTAACAGAGAATGCCAGTTATGACAGGCTCATTGTTTACTTTAACAGGTAATTTGTGGACCGGAATCATTTAATTGTTCTGAGTACATAATTACATGTCAGCAATTTCCAATTTAATTAAAATGTACAAATCTGAAGATTAAGGGAATTTTTGAATTATTAATCATTTTTCCACTAGGAAATCTTGTTGCTCCGCAGGAGATTTGTCCAGTGTACAACTATACGTATTTTTTTCCTTCTCTTTCGCAGACAGACAATTTTCCCGCAGAGCCCAATTACATGGGCAGCAGGCAGCAGTTTGTTCAAAGGTAAGGCCTATTAAATAACTTTCTCGGCTTCCCCATTTGCATTCGTGTCAAAATTGCTTTGCAAGAGACTACACTTCAGATTCAAACTCGTAGAGACAACACTTTCTCTTCTTTTTCTTTATATGTATTTCAGTAGCTCCACGTTTAAGGACCCAGAAAGAGCCAGCCTGAGAGACAGTGGGCACGGGGACAGTGATCAGGCTGACAGTGACCAAGACACTAACAAAGGCTCCTGCTGTGACATGTCTGTTAGGGAGGCACTCAAGATGAAAACTACTTCAACTAAAAGCCAACCACTTGAACAAGGTGAGTGAAGCCTTCCAATGCTTACAAAGTGTAAAGCTTAAGCAGTCATTATAAACCTATTAGTATTAGAGTTGCAGTTTATCACGGTGGAATGGACCATTGATAATATATCAAAAGAAACAGCAAATCCCGAGCTTGTCCCAGACAGAAAGCAGCTATTCAATACCTCAGTAACAACAGAAAAAGGAAGGCCATGGATATTAGTCTGTAATCTTCTTAAAATGAGAACTTGACCAAAGTCACTAGATTGTTCTTATCTTTATGGACATTTCCTAACCTTTCCCATTTTGTGTTTTATTAACCAGGAAAATAGGGCATGTATTAGCTAGATATGCACATCTTAATATACTAATTTACAAGACTAAATTTAGTAAATTCACCACTTTTAGTTAAAATGAAAACCTGATTGGAATTTTGTAGCTCTTAGCAATGTTTGTTTATTTTTAGTATGAATTTTAGCTTCAGAGTCATTTTTCAAGAGTCAAATTACAGCGAAGCCAGAGTTTTGGCTCCTGTTTTGGATTTACATCTAAATCTGCATGGATGTCAAATAAACATGTACTTGTTGACCCTGATAGAGATATAAAAAAGAAACACTTCTTAATAAATACATATATTTTTTTCTAAAAGTCTATCTTCAATTTATTTGTTTGATATGCCTTTTTATTAGTTTTGCTGTTTTTATTGTTTCAAACACAATGAAATATTTGCTAATGATTCACCCAAAGAGAAATAAGGAACTCTTACATGTAAGACTTAGACCCTGGGAATAGGTTTTTATGTTTCATTATAAAAAATGAAAAGAACTATTGTATAAACCGGATTTCAGAATTACAAATGCATGTTATATTTGTTAATATTAGTTTTCAAAATACTAATGATATTTAAATATACCTAATATTTATTATTTCAGTTTTTTAATGAGAAACTACATTTAAACTATGAGACATAGTCATTTATTCTTCTAAGTCATTTATTGATTGACAATTCATAGAAAATAAAGTTTTGCCTGTAGTGCAGTCTGTCATATCACACATACTTCAACAGATACCATGTTTATTAATTTCTCAAATCATGTTGAAATTTTAATACACACGTTTACACACATATAAATTCAATACAGAGATAAATACATATGTTCAGTATTATATATATTTGAATTTCTGCACTGAATATAATTATGCTGGATTTTTTTTTAAGGTTGGCCTCCCAAAAAGCCTTCTTTTGATAAGTTATAACTGCCAAATATAACATAGCAACTTTTTGTCTAACAATGCAACATTGCATTTTAAATTATTTTCAGTAAAAGGTATTTGAATGCTTATGGAATATTCATAATTCCTACAGATTTGAATGTTTACTTGAAGTGACTTAAATGATTTGATGGGTTTTGACTATGTCATAATATGTTAATTTTTTAGACAAATTTTAAATAATGGGCTGTTGGATCTTGATATGTGAATACAGAACCTAACATAGACTCATTTATGTGTGTAATAAAGTGATTGACAGATAATGCATTGGCTACTTTTTGTAAAGCCGCATAGAGTAAGTAAATAGTTTGCATTTATTATATCTTCATGAGAAACTTTTTGAATCAAAAAAAAAGCTTATATGCTGTTCACATTAACTCTAAATTTTTTTCATCAACCAAGTGAGCAATGTATTTGATGGGAAGGGGTAAGGACGCTTATAGAAAAAGGAAGGGGTTTTATTCATGTCTGGAGATGTAATTTATACTGAAAATCTGTTTTTTCAATTTTGATATTAGAAAATAATACCTTAGGAGGGTGGCTGTTGTTCTTAGAAGAACATACATTTGTCATATATTTTAGTTAATGTTACACATAGAACAATTGCTAGTCTCAGAGTGAGAATGCTAATGCAGATGTCTCCTCTAAAACAAGTAGTTTCCACACGTCCTCATTAATTAATATGGGAAAGTTATTAGGAAGCTGAAAGCCACACTTAGATAATCTGTGAATTATAGGAAAGATACTGACCTCTACTTTAAAACATGATTTTGGAGGATTAGCTAAAGTAGTGTTTCATTGGTTGTTTGACTCTTTATTAATTCATTTATTTAATAAATATCCATAAATCTTTTCAATACCTGAGGGAAGTTAGATTCTTTAGGAACATCAAAAATAAATTTGACTTGGAGCCTGCCTTCAAGAAACTGTATGTAACTGGTAGAGATGAGGGATCGCTCGCTCCTTCTCCTCTGTCTCTCTCTCTCTGTATCCCCATTCCCCTCCCTCATCACTCTTCTCTCTCATTTACCTCCACCTGTCATCTTTTCTATCTCTATGTCCATCATTTTTTTCCCTTCCTTCCTTTCTTCCTTCCTTCTCTCTTTCCTTCCTTGCTTTCTTTCTTCCCTTTCTTTCAGGTATCCATGTTTACACCTATCTACCTATCTAGATTGGAGGAGGAGACTAGCATTTACTGGTTTTTTACTATTTACTCTGAACAGTGTTAGCTGCATTTCAATGTTAGCTTATTTAACCTGCAAACTCTAAAATATTTATCATTTTTATCCTACATGTAAGAAAACTGATCTTATGGGAAATTTATTAGCCTGCTCAGCAGGTTGGAGTTTTACCTTATGTTTATATATAGCCAAAATTTGTGTCTTTTCTATACAGCTTTGTCTCCAAATGGGAGAATTTGTTCCAAATAGACAATCTTGTTCATTTTTATGACTAGATATCAAATAAACATTGAAGAGTAAGTTAAAACCTGAGTTCATGTATGCAAACCTTAGGGGAGAACATCAAAATAGCTCATATGCATTGAATGAATTATTCAGTACTTAAAACTTATTATCCTATTTAGTTTTCATTGCATTCATAAATAGGTAATTAGTGTTACTCTCACATTTAGTAGATATTAAGAAATTTTTTCAATATTCTATAGCTATAAGTAGTGAAGTCAGCATTAGAAATAAAATGGCATGCCTTCAGAGCCTTACCCAGTGCTTTATACTATTCATGTAATGAACAGTTTACTCAGAAATAATTTTAAAACGTTTGAAGAAGCAATCAGCCATTGTCTTGGTCAATGCACTCTGTTAATTTATTTGAAAAGCGTCATGAGAAGCAATGCCAAATTAATTCAATGCACACCTATAAAAAATAATTTTCTTTACAGATGAAAGATGATGACAGCCGTATTTAAGCAATTATCTCACGTCAGATTTCAAATATTAAAACTAGTTTTTAATGCCTTTAAAAATCTCCTAAGAAACAAAAATAAATTTCCTCTTAAGAGAAAGAAACCAAAAACTAAACAAAAAGAAACCTGCTTATGAGTCTTTTTCTCTTCCTAAAAATTTGTAGTAGTGCTTAACACATTTCAATTAAAAAATCAGTAGCATATTTTATTTTACATTTCTATATTAATTTAGTTAGCTTCTTTCCTTGTTTAATTTTTTTCTATTAAGAAAAATAACGTTCTATTTCTAAATCAAAATTTTCTTTAACTTAGAAATTAGAATCATTCCAAAAATAATCTTCACATTTTCAATGTAACTTTCTGTGCTAATAATGGTTTTTCTCTGCAAATGACTTAGGCCTTTGAGATTTCATATTATTAGTTCAAGTATTACTTTTTTCTTCTCTTTTGCGCAGATTCTTCCCATTTGTTCTATTCCTGATAATTGTGTTTTTTGCTCCCATCAGCTTAACCAACCCAAATATACAGCACTAGTATATGTTACTCATTTTTTTTAGCAAATAGGGGAATTTGGGATGTTAATTGAAGGGGTGATACAGGGCACTAAACTGGGGATAGCTTTAAGGATCTTATATTAATAAATCTCTAATAGAAAGAGGTTATTTTAGTTTCTCTTATTGGGATTTAAAAATTCTCAAAGAATGTTTCTTTCTATTTGTTTGCATTTTTGTGCCCTGCTTCTCTATTTGTCAATTAGATTGTCTCCATACTTCCTTTGTCAAATATTAATTCTAAGTAAGTAGGTAGGTAGATAGGTAGGTAGGTAAAGCAATCCACTTTGACTTCTTTAAAGAAGTACCTGTACCTCTGAATTTCTGTCCACTACAGAAGTCTGGAAAAGTATTTTGCTTGTTAGCAATTACCTTTTCTTCTTTAAAAAGATTTAGTAAGCCTTCCCTAAAATTCAATAGTCTGTACTGATTCCCAATTAATAAATGTGCAGTGTTCAAAATGCATTTTTGATGCATTTCTCTGAGTTCTTTATTTCTCTGATGATTTCTCTGAGCTCCTTATTGCTAGCTTAAGACTGTTCTCAATTTTTCAAAGATAATGTCGTCTGCTATCTTTATAGTTGACTGAAACCAGGTTCTTGAAGCCAGAAGCTAGTGGACTAGCATCGCACATTGTAAGTGTTGACAGCCTTTGCTAGCCATGGCAGTGGAAGGATCACCATCAGGGAATCTAACGCTCCTGTTAGGGGACCCCTACTGGTCCCTTCCTCTGTAACTGGATTCCAGGACTTTTCTGATCCTCAGGAGTTGCTTCTTTCAAATTCTTTCTCATTTCTCCTTTTATTTGATTGCCTTATAATTTTTTTTTTCCTATTCAATTCTGTGCCTCCCCAGTCCTTTCGCTTCTGCTAGAAAAATCTGACTTCTTAAATTACATTCTGGGTTCAAAACATTTCACAACGGAATCCCTGATTAAAATCTAATAAATACAAAATCAATAGAAAGTTGAGAATAATAAAAATACCAAATAAGCCAGATTTGCTCCAGTGAATTCAGTTTTAAAAACTAAATTACATTCTGGGCGCCTGGGTGGCTCAGTTGGTTAAGCGACTGCCTTCGGCTCAGGTCATGATCCTGGAGTCCCGGGATCGAGTCCCGCATCGGGCTCCCTGCTCAGCGGGGAGTCTGCTTCTCCCTCTGACCCTCTTCCCGCTCGTGCTTTCTCTCTCTCATTCTCTCTCTCTCAAATAAATAAATAAAATCTTAAAAAAAAAAAACTAAATTACATTCTTAAGGGTTGCTTTCCCTCTT